TATATACCATACTTACTGCGATCCTCCTTTCTCTCCCTTTTTCCTCTTTTTTCTTTACCTTTTGTGAATGTTTCTTTTATCTGAAATGCACGGTATGCGGCGTGTAGTGAAGTCACTAAACAGTGGACAAAAACAGAAAGAAAATATTGCCCTTAAAACCCGCCACAAATTGCTTATCTCGAGGCTATGGAGGAGACACTTCGGATCGTGCCGACGACACGGCTGCCTGCCCGGCTGCCTTTCTGGATTGACTTAACGCTCGAGAATCTTTTTTGGACCAGATTCCTGTGCCCTGTTCGTCCCATGTCTCGTTCTGGAGAGAGAGAGAGAGAGAGAGAGGGGGGGGGGGGCTGTGTGTGCTGACTCAGGTGCCAGTTCGTCTGGTTGGAGGAATCCCTGCGGTAAGTGTTTTAATAGCCTGCCTACCCGTCATCGAGACGATCTTTGATTTACGACAATTTTCTGCAAACCCGGCGCGCATCTTGTCTGCTGCCCTCGCCTCCACCTTCATTCTCCAAATGAGATGGGGGCCTCCCATTAAACGCGTGTTTCGCAGGGTCTTCAATACGCGGCCTCTAGCGCTGTAAGACCGTGTGTGCGTTTGCCCCATTTTTTCCCCTCTCCCGCGTGCAGCCTCCTTGGTGCCCAGCCCACGGCTCGCTGGTGATTCTAGAGTAGGAATGGATCGATACGTGTGCATGTGCGCATTACCGTTTATTTTCTTGTCTGGGGCCGCCGAGTAATTCCCTCCCGTGCATATAACAACTATCCTGCTCTCGGGTTTCCAATTACGCGGGAGTGTCTCACACCAACGCAAGGTAATGGCTCTGCCACCTTACCTTAAATGACTTAAAGAAATTTTTTCCCTCCCACTTGGATTCTGCTTGCGTCTTAATGCGTGAGGCCTCATTAACATTTTTCACCTTTGGAAATACCCTAGCGGCTGCTGTAAATATGAATAGGCGCAACTATTCACTAATCTTGGTCTGGCTAAAACATTTGTTGGGGATCTTTTCACCTCGTGTCTGTGACATTGAGATGGACACGGAACTTTTCGCTGGGCTGGCTCGTTAGGCCACCACACACGGCCACATGACACCTGGCTGTGAAAACGAGTGTATGGTTTCAACCAAACACACTCCTCGTATGTGCGGGGGCGAGCGCACGTGCCAGCAACGCATTCCGGCAGCAGTATTCGGACAAACTAAGTGTGTAACAAGGTGTTGCCCCTTCTTGCTCCTACTCCTACCCACACACATCTGTGAGAAATAATTGTTTATCTCCAAAAATTATTATAAGTTACCTCTGCATTCGGTAACGCACTCCCATTGATGCTATGCTTACGTTGTCTGTACAATAGAAACAATTGTCAAAGTTATTTCGGACGAAAGGGGGGAAAACTCTGACGAACCTCTATAATTATCGGGAAACTTTCTCAGAGTGCATTCTTTTATTACATGTGAAGAAGTGTCATCAAAAAATTTGGGAAATTTTCAAACTTCTAACTTTGAGGAGTTGCCTTCAAACTTAAGAACGATCTCTCAAGTTTACAATTTTCCCTAAAAAAATCAGACATTGTTTTACCGAACCATTTGTACACTGAAAAGCTGGTGCAGGCATTGTGGGCATTGTTATCGACGAAGGCAGACGAAAATAAAGAGGTGCAAAAGATTCGCGCCAGAGCGTTAGTTTACTGATCATGTAGGCCTTAAATATCGGCCCGGATATTGACACGGGGCCACCAACCCGACCTCTGACCCTCGCTCCGAGTCTTGTTGCTCGCATTCTGATGGCCGGAGATTGCAGGCAGAGGGACTTGCGGGTGCGCCAGCCACCTTGCATACAAAGCATTACGGATGTTAGCCACGGCTCGCAGCGCACCAAAGCTACAGAACACAGTGCCCTTCGGCTACCGAACAAGAGCGGAACACGGCCGAGACATGTCGCCGCAGAGTGCGCGTGTTTTACGCCTCTTAATGTCTTACTTGTGACCTTGCACTGGGTGTCGCTTTACAGACCTCGCCGATCTCTTTAACACGAGAGAAAGTCTGCGTGTAACTACGTGCATTTTGCTTTCATGAAAAATATTTTCGTCAGTCCGGCTTAGTAGACGAGCAAATAATTTGACCATTCTTTTCCTTTACTTCGATGTTTTTGTTTGATTTCTGTTTCTTTTTTTGGAGCCATTCCCATTCTGAGGAAGGCCCGATGTTCGAAGAGCAGCACCACCCACGAGCTGCCGAAGCGCCCCTGGAAGCCGTTGGAGGACGGCCAAGGCTTGACGCCCGATCAGCGCCAGCATTAAGCAGTTAGTGCACGCGGTGCAGCAGTAGACACCCTGGCGCAGGGCTGCGTCTGCAGCGGCAGCCATCTGCAGGAGGCCGTCTGGCGCAAGCCATGGCGCCACCTCGACCCTCGAACGCAGCCGGCCACCCTATCAGACGCTCCGTCAGACAGCATGTCCCCCTCTGCAGTCGTGCTGAAGTGTGTATGTGTGTTGGGGGGGGGGACCTGAGTCGTTTGCTGACCTAAACCGGACTTAGGTGTTAAGTTAACTACTGTGGCGCGGTCAGTGTATGACCACATAGAAGAGTACAGAGTTTTACCTATACTGTCTATTGATACGTAGAAAATATGGGGGGGGGGCGGACCTGAGTCGTTTGCTGACCTAAACCGGACTTAGGTGTTAAGTTAACTACTGTTGCGCGGTCAGTGTAGGACCACATAGAAGAGTACAGAGTTTTACCTATACTGTCTATTGATACGTAGAAAATATGGATCTGTGCGACTCTCGAAAACCCTTACTGGGCTGAGACAGCGAGGCCCGGTGGACGTGAACGTGTGCCTCGGGTCATCGCCTGCCCACACGCCGCCGCGCTCACTCATCGCGAATATTAATGAGACTTTGCATGTCTCGAATTCATGATCACACCTGCACAATGAGTCGTTTATTGAGCCCCCAGGGCACTGCCTTCATACAAGAAACGCGACGTATCTCTGAGACGAGGTGTGTGCAACGAACCCCGTATAGTAGCAAGGGTGCTGTGAAATGCCATCACTTGCATGGCTTAGCAAGGAGCGGCGTGTGTCGTATGGATCGTGGGTAATCGGACTCTAATCGGACTCTGCTAGTAGTTTTAAATCAGTGATGTACCCATGGGTTAGGCACGAGGTCATGACCTCTCCTTAAAGGTGAGACATAAATTCCCTCAAAGTGAAATCCTCGGTAAAATCCTGTACGCCTCGCCTGTGTTTCAATTGTACCGTCTACAAGCGCTTACCACGAGGGGGAAACAAATTAGGTAATTCGGCTGACAGCCATTCGGTAATCCGGCAGGTGTAATCTAGGGAAATTCTAAAAAAATCCAGGGTAATCCGGGAAAGTTTTACGCTGATCCAGGAAAGTTTTACGGTGATCCGGGGTAATCCTAGAGAAAAAGCAACGTAATCCGGAGGACACTCCAGAGGTAATACGGGTAATCCGTAATCCGGCTGACACAAAGTTTAACAGTCGTTTCCCCCTCGGCTTACCAGCACTAGATTTTCAGCATTTGTATTTACATCATTGTTTGGTCATTGTCTTGTCTTCGGCGCTTTAGGAGTATCTATGAAATCGCCGAAAGGGTTGCTGAATAAGCACCAACCTGACTGACGTTACTGCAGTTGATCGCTGACCGGTTAAACACACTTTACAGCCCCTTGCCCCCGTGCTGTTTGCTGTGCCTGATTTACTGGTGACGAAGGGAAGGGGATGGCCCTTATTAGGTAAAGCAGGTACTACTTACACTGGATGAATCCACGTTTGGAGCATTTGTCCGATTCGCCGCTTGGGCCAAGTCGGGACCCGTAACGCCATACTTCTGAGAAAGCAATAAAAATATAGTTATATGCGGCTGACGACATGAGTCGTACCTTGTGCAGGCATTGTTGTTAGATATATAGCCCTTTCGATGGGTATCGCGAGGTGTGTGAGCGAGAGATGGAGAGGGGGGAAGGGGGGCGGTGCTGGAAGAACGATCAAAACAAACAGACGAAGGCGTGGAGGGAGCGTATTAAGATGTGTAAGATGCTTTTCCCCATCTTTCACCCAGACGTAATTTTGATTTACAGTGACAGGCGCGCTTTTACCAATTAACCCGACGCGGATGCGAGTGGTGAAAGCTGCTGCTTTGAATTGGGTTTGACTTGTGGTGGCAAAAGGCTTTTTTGCAATCATGCTTTATTGTGTTTTTCAATTGGCGGGAGCCGAGCAATTTTCAATCACATCCGTCATATTGCCAACTGCAGCCGACCGGGGCAGTATTTCCCTAAAGAGCCCGGTCGGCCGGCCACACGCTCTATGTAGGCCGCGCTCATGACGGTACTGCAAACAATCGCCGCAGGTTGCCTATCGGTATGAAGACAACAAGCGCGCCGGTTGCCTCGCCCTGTCCATCGCCTCGATAAAAATCAACGCGTGTTTGCCTCCGTCTCTCTCTTTCCGACCATTTCCGCGCGCTGCGAGTGGGACAGAGACGGCCGTATGTGCAGCCCCCCTTCGAACATGCGTATGGCGGTCACGTGTGCGCTTTTCTCTCTCTTTCTCTCTCTATCCCTTTCCTCCCCCTTCTCTCCTCTCTCTTTCTTATTCGTGCAGCGAGAGAGGTGCGCAACACAAATTACCACTGATGGTATCAGTAAGCATTCCCATTGGATTTACGCGCAGACATACACGCCGTTCGCCGGCGCGCTCGATGGAGAGGCAGGGGAGGGGGAAGGACTTGTTGAGCCGTTCTTCATTGAGGCCGTAGGGTGGGTGTAAGCCGTGCGCGTGGGCGTGGGCGCAGGCCAGGTCCGTGCTACCGCGCGGTAGCTCCCGGCTTTATTTTAATTATTATTATTCTTTCCTCATCGACGCGAGATTCGCTGCTAAATGTTATCGAGGAAAGCAATGTATGTTGTCTGTGCACAGACATTGCCCTCCGCTGTTTTGTATAATCCATGGTCGTCTATCTGTGCAGGTGGCGCAGTCACACATGTCACACGGTTTTTGCCGGTTACCTCTCCAGACGGTGGTTGTTCCGGCTGACACCTCTAGATTGCCATTCTGTGGAGCGTTGAAAATTGCCTCTCTGTAAGGAACCGTGAGTATCCTCAAACTTTATTTGAAATTGATTTTGAAGTGAAATTTTTATTTCACATTATTGTTTGCGAAATGTGCGTCATCTGTAAAGCGATGTCTACTCGATCCCCCTCAAGTTTAAGAAACCTGACCTGAAAAGCGAGCAACTTTCGCACGTTCTTAAACATGCCCTGAGGTGTGTAAATGACGCACATTCACTTTAAAAACCATATTACCTCGCTTTTGGCGGTGTTTTGGCACTCGCGTGCGCCTGACCTTAAGTCGCGCACTTAGAGGAGACAACACAGACTGCCGGCCGCAAGCTGGATCCAGACATCAGTCGACTGTTGCATTTAATGCTCAGGTGTGGCGTCGAATGGCCCCGCGGAGCCATAACGACGTCAGGATCCAGTTTTAATTGCGGCCGTACATAAGCGCTCGCCAGCTGCTCACTAACTGCCGATTAAATTTAACGAATGAAATAATTCCCGGCTTAATAACTGACTGGCGGTGGCGGGCGCCGTTGTCAGGAAGTGGCGGATGCAGGAGGCGGCGGTGACTGTGGCGTCCTCGGGCTCACCCCAGTACCTGGGTATTTTATTTGATTAAATATCTGTACTGTGAAAAGATTCGATACAAATCTGATAAGTGAAATACACTCTAAACTTAAAAGGGAAATTTTGTCCTTTAAGAGGCATCGGTTTTGTGAAGTTCCAGATCAGATGCAATTTTAAACCCTGCGAAAAATGTGTAAGGATTTACACAATTTGCCCAAATTTAGGAAAAAAAATAGCATCTGATCTGGATGAGCACGAAAACGGTGCCTTTTCAGGAACAAACGTGTTCCTAGAGTGTACGTGTGAAGGTATAATTAATTTGGCTCAATATTCGCATTCTATTCCACCTTAAATGTATTTTGGTTGAAACCGGATGGAAACTGTCATAGTGCCTGCGGTTCGTAACGAATCATTGTGATGAGCCCAGTACTTGTGGCATACACTCCCAGGCGCTGGTGTGCGCACGCGGGAGGCTCCGCGTCGCGAGAATGAGAATGAGCTATCAGCTTTCCCCACCAGAGTGTTTATCACCCCAAATTTGTATATAATGTGCGGCCGGGGTCTGCGATGAGAATCTCTGTGAGTGCGTGGGTATTTGAATAAGAGATTTGTCTCCAAGGCGTGATACCATCGGGGGCCCCTTCCTTGTGCGTGGGGACACTCCGTGCCTCCGCCACCACCCCGCAGCCGACCCCGCCCCGCCTGGCCCGCTCTGCCCGTCAAATGGATAAGTAATGGGCTTCAAATCGCCAGGTCGGCGGGCCTGGCTGGGCTCGCCGTGTTGCTGTGTCATGAGGACTCTATCAAGCGTTGTCTTAATACCACCGGATATGATGCCTCGTTCGGGGTCCTCGTTGTGGCGTCTCTCGACCCCCATGAGTCACGGCATGACCCCGCGTTGTCGCTACGCTGGAATGCGGTGTGGCAAAAAAAAAATCGTGTCCCCGTAATATCGTAGCCAGCGTGTACGGGTAAGCAGTCCTCTGTTGCCGAACGTTTCCGCCCGGAGTGATTGGACACACGTCAGGCCCTATCGCCTTGGTACAATCTCGTCGGGAATATTACCCCTGAGTTTGGACATAGGCGGGCCGTGTTCCGTACACGTGTCCCTCCGGTCCTTCCGTAATGATGAAGCCACATCCTGGCTAGGCCCTTTTTTCTTGTCCGAGGACCGTGTTTTATGTCGTCTGGGCATGTCCTGTTTCCTGGACCAGCCGGCGTATTCCCGGAATATTTGAATTTTACCTGTGGGGAAAATATACCGATGACCTCGCTTATAATCTAGCCTTGTATTTGATTTCAAGGAAAACCTTCACATGACGTCCGTAGGGCAATGCTTTAATTTTAACCAATACTTTTGCGCCTGTAATGAACTTTTCGAGCTTGATTTTGAATGTCTAAGATTATTGTCAAAGGTTATGCTGCGGAAAGGGGTTCAATACGTTTTTATCCTTCTGTAGGTTAAGTATCCTGCGAGTGGACCCTCCTGAAGAGCACACACGTGAAGAAAACTGTGAAATTTCATTGGTCGTTAACTGATCTGGGGGCTTCGAATACGTACACCCAAAGGGGGATTTCATTCGAAAAGAGCTCCGTGTTTATTCGAGGATACAGAAACTGCCACGGTAAGGTGACTGATCAGGGGTGGAGGTTGTCGACATGTGTCTCCTCGGGGGTTGCTCATGTAGTCATCAAGGTCCACCGTGTTAACCCTTCTCGTTAGGGCGCTTGTCCCTCTCGTGTACGACATGTGCGGCTCGGTCGAGGCTCCGCCGAGGCCCCGCTCAGGGTGGCTTCGTTATGCTCGGGACGGATGACTTTCCTTCCATCACTGCCAGTCTCGGGCTTGGCCTGCGTCCTGCCATGCATATGCATTGTTCTTGAAAACAATTAATTGGGACGTTGGATCTAATTTGCAGACACGCCTGCTTGCTTATTGTGTGATTGTTGGAATTAGTAGTGGTGTTCTTGCGTTTAGGAGGCGCATTTCTCTAATGAAACGTACCTGTACCCTGGAAACCTAAGTGTGTACATGTGTGCGTTATTTGCTGCATACATGTAGGTATGCAGCAAGTAACGCTTACATGTACACACTTGGGTTTTCAGAACACTGTGCGGGAGATCCTCTGCGAACTGAGGCGCCGGTGGGGTAAGCGTTGAATTTTACACCAAAGCTTTTGTTTCTATCTTGTATCTCGTATTTGAAAGATACTTTAAGAGTGCAGGAGTCAGGGGTGCTTTTTTGAAGACAATCGAAAGTCATTGAAGTCGTTTCTTGAATTGCCCTGACTCGATTTTTACGATACGACCTGTGTGTTTCCCCCTCGGCAACAGATTGGAATGTCGTAACAACTTGGGAGGGACACAAGCAGAACGGTTGACGTCCTTCCAGGACACGTAAGGACATGTGTAGCAGCCCTACCCTCGTGGAGCTGGCCACTGGGCCCGTATCGTGTTTACGATGATAGAGATTTTCTGGTCCGAGTCTGACTCACTTCTGGAGGGATGTCTTCTTCTGATACCCCTCCTGTGCTCAGTTGCCTGGGTTGTTTTGGAGTGTTGTACCTGGTCGCAGCAGGCCTTCGGCTCTCACTACAACCGCTGGTTTGTGACTTACGCCGCACACCCCTGCCGTTGGTTCCTAAGGGGAGGCGTGCTACTGTATTGCTAAACAATAAAGACACAAGCCATTTTCTTCACTACCTTAGAAAGGTGCCGAAATGTCCAGTCTTTTGTTTCAATAGTGCTTTTCATCAAAGAGAAGTGTGTGCGTGCGTGCGAGTGGAGAGAGAGAGGGAGAGAGAGAGAGAGAGAGAGAGAGAGAGAGAGAAAGGAGAGGAAGAGAGAGTGCGTGTGTGTGTTTTCTGCAGGCAAATCGCTCGTCGACTCGAGCTATAAGTCAAGGAGTCGCACGTCTTCATAAGCAGCTAACAAAGTGCTGGGACAACTTAGATGGACCTGGGATAGCGGAGATTAATAGTTATTGAGACAGTAAGGAGGAGCGGACTAGAGAGAGTGTGAGAGAGAAAGAGATGGGAACTGCGGGAAAAGAGGGGGGGGGGAATGGCAGTAATGGCGTGAGTCGGAGGGCACACTGGTCTGCGCGTGTCCAGCAGGATTGCCAAACCGCCAATTGACCAAACCATCGAAATGGGAACGCAATCGGTTCTGCCTGCGTTTGTGATGAAACACCGAGCTCCCTTCTATCGCTTCCGTTCCGCCGCAGTGACAGCGTCACGGTAGCCTCCGATTGTTATTATTGGCTGATTGGTGACGTACGGTTTCGAAAGACTGGTCAGATTTAAACATCCTTAATTGTAATTGCTACGCGCGCGGCTGCAGGGCGTGGAGGGGCGGGGCGGCGCGCCGTGGACACCGCGTGAGCTCGTTAGTGTAATGCACTGGGGTCGTTCAGGGAACGATTTGTTCCGTGCTCGCTCGCTGCTTCGATTATTTGGTCCTGTAATGGCCATGTGTAAGAAATGGCGCGTAGCCCGAGGGGTGTGCACTCTAGCTGTTTCCCCGGCAGGTGGTGGCACCTGAGGTGCAACGAAGGCAGTGAAACACGTAAGAAAGGCGGAGGAAACTTTTCCTCTTTTCTCCCAAGTGTTCCCTTCGAAAGTTTCTTTTCCGTGTCACCCTGTGATGGAGTTTTACCAGACTCCTACCCTTCACTGCACATGCCCTTCGCCTCCCGCCGAACACTATACCGGCTAAGTGGACGCCTCCAAGTGTGTCAGCTTGTTTATTTGGCTTCGATTTATCACGGCTCACGCGGCGGTGCCGCGCGCACTTACCGACGTGTTCGAAACGTTGACGACGGCCCCCTCCTGATTGGTCGCCGTGCAGCCAATGGCGGCGCGGCGGGGCGCGGCGGGGCGCGGAGTGGCGCCCTAACCGCGCTCTAGCCGCGCCGCGGCGAGGCCGGGCCACACCTCCGGCCCGGGCAATTACACTTCAACACGACACTGCCAAAAGAAAGGGATAATGATGATTATAGCATATACATCCCCGGGTGGGATTCCTCTACATTTGTGCGGCATCTGCCCCCGCCGCCGCCTCCGCCCGGCTCTGTTTCCCCCGGGCAAAGACATTATGGTCCTGTAGAAAAGAACCACGCAACTCGGCGGCGCCACTAGCCGAGTTAGTGGGCGCCCACAGACAATACCAGCGATAGGGCATCTTGCGACCAACCCTTTGGTCTCGAGGGGTGGGAGGAGGTGGACGACGATTTATGCGGGTTTAGATTACAGGGCTGTGGCCACTCGTGGGCCACCTCGTGGAGGCCGAGGGGCAGTCTTTCTCTCTCGTGCATGATGACATTTGTTGTCTATTGTGGGACGGGCTGGGCCCCACCGCGGCTGCGCCCAGGGCGGTGGCGGTGGTGGCAGGTAGTGCATGCAAATGAGAGGAAAGAATAACATAATGTCGTCGATGTTGCTCCTTCTTTAACGACTTTGCAGGTATAATTCCGTATTTGGGGTGACACTTCTTTGATGCAAGTTTTCCCCTTCTAGTTGTCTTTGTATCCCAACCCGGTCTCTTTCGTAGGCCTGTCAGCCCGCTGCACACAGACCTGGAGTTCGTAGCTGCAGCTACACTAACTATTACTTCCGCCGCCCGCCCACCGTATGGTAGCGAAAATGCGAATGATGATGACTCCACCGCACTTACCCTTCCTGACAAGCGCGCGCGCGCGGTGATCGCTGCCGTTGGATCGCCCGGAGCCGCATCTCGACGCGCGCTCCCATTTCATCTTTTAATTCCTCCCGGATCATTTTCTCTCTTGTTCGGGGAAGGCTAGCGAGGCGGGGTTTAATAAGTGGTTGGCGGCACGGGGCGCTCCCGCGCGCGCTCGCCCACACATGCGTGCTTGAAGTTTGGACCGTTTTTATTCGGATAGACGTCTGCGTTGAGACCGGCCGAGTGGGAAACCATACGTTTTTGAAGAGGCAGTGGAACTGGCATTGGCTCCCTGCAATTAGGTGAATCATCCAGATCTCTGCCCAGACTCATTTCTACCTGGTGTTTAGACATTTTGCTGCGGTGCTGCTGCTCAGCCGTGGTATATGCACTCATGCACCCTGATAATGACTGGCCGGGAGCATCACAATTGCTCTACCCAACTACTTTACTGTTCTTTACTTTTAAAAATCTTTTACCATTTATTCTCATATTTAAAAGAAATGATACTGGGCGACAATTATTTGAGCACTCAATATAAAGTAAGTGGAAAATCAGTGCTGCACTATCAAAACACTGTGATATCACATTCAGTCCTGTGTGAATTGTGTCGCATTGATTAGAATACCATGTGACAACCATTAGAGCTTGACCCACCCACATCCAAGGCCTGCGTACCTACGTCGTCATGTCAACACCCAATGCGACACAGTATTTTTCGAAACAATAGGGCAACTATGACGTCACAGTGTTTGAATAACTGTGTGCTCTGGAACATCGGCCATGCTGATTGCCGCACATTTCTGTGTGATTAGCGTTTATAGCGACTGCTCTTGGGGAAGCCGCCAATTAATTAGAGAAACCACGATCATTATTCGCACTGCCTCCAAAAATTGCACCTGCTGCCTTAGATAAGAGAAGCAAGCGTTCTCTGCTCCCCCCCCCCTTTTTCTCCTCCCTCTCACGCTCCTGGAAGACCCCTGGAATCAGTCCGTCTGCCCGTCCAGTCCAGTCCAGCCGGCGGCGGCCCGCAATAAAACACGCCTAATCGCAAACTCTTTCCAGTTGCAATTTCGCGCCGTAAACACACGTTGGGGCGCTGCTGCCTGGGCGTGGCGTGAACAAATGAATGAGCGTATCCCTCTCAACAAATTACGCACTTTCCTGGTAATGAGCCGCGGCCGTGCGTGCAAGATAGTGACGTGGTCAGTTCAGTTAAGGCATTCGATGGTGGTAGAAGAGTTTTTGTAGAGTTACTTTTAAGATTTCCAATGCAATCATACTTTGTTGTTTTTATTCTGTTGCAGATCAATTTGGCAGGGTAGAGGATCATATTCAGAGTGACTGCCTGCTTATTTCAGGTTAGTCCTCGCATTTTTCAATAGGGTAAGCAGAATACGTAGGTTATACAAAAGTGACACTTTTTTGTTTTCATTTTATGACAGGTGCCCTAATCTGTCTGTTGCGATGCAATTTCAAAGTGATAATAACGAGAAACATGAAAGCACGCTACTAAACGATGAGGCTAAGCCTCATGAATGCACGGTGTGCCACAAAAACTTCTATCGTGTCGGTAGTCTGAAAAATCACCTCCGAACTCATACTGGAGAAAAACCATATTATGATTGCTCAGTGTGCCGAAAGACATTTGCTACTTCCAGTTCGCTGACAGTTCACCTTCGAGCACATACAAGAGAGAAGCCATATGGATGTCCTGTCTGCAAAAGGAAATTTTCTCAAAGCAGCAGTGTAACAGTTCACCTTCGAGTTCACACGGGAGAGAAACCATTTGAGTGCGCTGTGTGCTACAAAAAGTTTCTGACAAATCCTGCTCTGACAACCCATATGCGAACTCATACAGGGGAAAAGCCATACCAATGCTCTGTTTGTCTGCAATCATTTTCTCAAGGTAGCTCTTTAAAAAAGCATTTTCGAACTCATACAGGAGAGAAACCGTTTAATTGCACAGTGTGTCACCGAAATTTCGCAGAATGTGGGACTCTGAAAATGCACTTACGCACTCACACTGGAGAAAAACCGTACAAGTGCTCTATTTGCGACAAAACGTTCAGTGTTAACTCTGCTCTGCGGTGGCACCTTCGCACTCATACGGGGGAAATGCCACATGAGTGCATTGTATGTTCGAAGAAATTTTTCACATCCGGTCATCTGAAGATGCATTTACGAATTCACACTGGGGAAAAACCGTTTAATTGCCCACTGTGCCCGAAAAAATTCCCTCGGCCTCATCATCTAGAGAACCATCTCCGTACTCATACGGGGGAAAAGCCATTTGAGTGCAATGTGTGCCATATGAAGTTTACTCAGGATGGCAATATGAAGTTGCACATTCGCCGAATGCATGCAAATGTATAGACCAAAGAGTGCACCAGGTGTTCCAAGAAGTCTGTTCAGTTAAAGTTCGCTCAGCGAGGCGAGACCAAGACGTAATTAATTGCCTTTATCGTTTTGAAAAATGTTCTACATTAATGTTTGCTTGTCCGAAATAAGTGATGAAGTTGTTCGTGCCTTAACTAGAAGTACCAGTTGTTTATGAAATTGCTAAGACTCTCTAATACTATGTAAACTGACTAATGTCGGTGCGCATGTCATGTTCTTCGCTTGGTGCAACACTTATAAAACTTTTTTTGTCAAATAAAGCAAATTGACCATAAATGCTCTGCCTTCGCTGCCCATTGATTTTCGAAAAGTATTCTAGGTTGAATACTTTTGTCTCTCTTACTCGCCACCTTGCTGCATCAGTATTGTGCGACGGTGCTGCAGAGTTTGCAGCCATGAGGGTGCCGCGCGGCCATGAGCGACGCCTTGAGTGTGGACTCGAACGTGATCCGCCGCCGCCTTCAATCTCGCGCCGAAATCGCTACATTTCCAACACGCAACGCGCGACTCCCTGATCGTTTTCCTCCCACATCCCTCGAGGGGCGGCCGCGTCCGAAACGATATGGGATCTCGTGGCCCCGTGCCCGCCAGGAGACGCGGACCGGCCGTTCGGCCGCCTCCCGCCCGCTGTCTTCACGAAAACTGTATACGTTTCTTTGTACCCAAAGGCCGCTTTCTTTCAACTCCGGGCGCTGGAATTATTCTTCGTGCTGGCACCCACAGATACACAGGCTGCCTCCTCTCTCCGGTGTGCTCCTCCCTTTCTCCCCTTCCTCCTCTTTATTTCTTGCTTGCGTTCAATCTAATTGCCCCCCTTTGGACCGAACTTGCTTGGGCATCGGGTAATAATTAGAGATATAATAACTCAGAAAGACATGTATTATGCTCAATGTTGGTTTGGTACTTGACATTACAAGCGAGCAGCAGTCCCCCTTCATGCCCCCTCTGGTCCTTCCCCCCTCCCGCCCGTATAACCCCTGAAGGCTCCAGGCACACGTACCCATTCACATTAGCATATTCATGTAATTGTATCGTAAATTTTCCGCCGTGTTAACGTACGCTCGGGGGGCATTTGGCGTTTCAGAAGTCGCCCCTATTGTTGGTTTAGCCGTGAGTAATTGGTAATTGCACTCGGGTAGGGGCAATCCATTGCTGGCCCACAGAGCACTCTGTGGTCGCAAAGAGCAATGCGATTGCGATTTCGTAATAATTTACCAACGCGATGGGGTGTTCTAAAATTACCATTTTGGGCTGCGCCAGGTGCAGGTGTGTCCCTCTGGACCGGACCTTGTCCTGTGTCAATCCCGTCGCGCTGTCAATTTGTAACGGCGATTTCTGCTGACAGAACAGTGTGTGTGTGTGTGCGTGCGAGAGATATATATATATATAGAGAGGGGAGGGGGGTAGAAATGAGGGGAGAGGAGAAGGGGGTGAGAGATTGAGGGGACCAAAAAAAACGACACAGTCGAAGAGCGAAGTGTGTTTGGAAATGAAAATTATAGCCATTAGAAAATGCAAGGAGCAATTTATCAAAGGAGCAGCCGGGAGCGCGCGGGGCCCAAGCGCGGAGGATGTGACCATCACGAGCAAGTGATCTGATTGGCTCCTGATAAACGATGTGCACCCATTTTTTTTTTTTCGTGTTGACTCGCCGCGCGGCGGCCGTCCAAGAGGCGACCGAACGCAAATTGGGGTCATAAGGATGCGTAAAAACATCAGATGGAGCACATTTTTCAACTGCAGACGCCTGCTGTGCCGCGGTGCAGCCGACGGTTGTTTGGTCCGAGGGAAGGGGGAAAGGGTCTCGGGATGCAAGAACACTGAAGTAAAGCATTCGTCAATGAATTTCTTTTCATTTAAACAAGGCGTAGCTGGTTTTGTAATAGTTCGGCGTATATGTAGCTCTCAGCCACGCACCACAAAATGCTTGCAAACAAACTTATTTCAATTGTTGAGATGGATTCTTTTGTTTCATAGCAAAGTAATCCTTTGCTAGTTATCAAAATCGCTTGCCGGCTATTTGTTAGTATTGCAAAGAAATCATTTTCAAACTTGCGAAGAACTAGTTCGTACTACAAACCTTCCAAAGTTCTTTTCAAAATCGCGAAGAGAATTTGTTTGACAAGCGTTTTTCAGTGTCACGAAAAGTCTCCCAACAAAATCGAAAAGCCTCGCGTAGTGCACCTTTTAGGCCCCATAGTCCGCATTACGTAGGCGACGCCCCCCATCCCCTCCCCCCTTTTCTTTCTCTCTGCAGCCCACACGGCACAGCCCGGGCAGGTGCTTATTATGTGTGAAATGATCACCTAATTATTACCTCCGCTGCCCCACGGGCTGCCCAGGGTCCGGGCCGGACCCAGCCCCCGCCCGGCCGGCCGTCCAGCCTGTGTCCGCCCGCCCGCCCGCTTAGGTGTGTAAGTGAATTGATAATGTTCGCGCTGAAAGGCATTGCTGCGAGCCGGTGGCGTTGGCGGGGCGTGCTGCATGGGCCGCAGGCCGCTGCACGACACGACAAGTCTCATGCACGCGCCCGCCCCCGAAAAGAGAGAGGGAAAAGTTAGCAGCGTGCCTACATACTCTTTTCAGGAAGTGCATTATACATATGGCAATGAATAAACGAGACGGTGCTTATCGTGTAGCACGTTCCCCTGGCCGGCCCGCAGAGGCGTGGTCGCGATGGGCGCCACCGGCCCACTTGCTGTCCTTGTCGCACCCACGGCGTGCAGCGCTTGGACCCCGCTGCTGTGCGAGGGAGACGACGCAAACTGTTACGGGAGCGCCAACCACACTAACGAAGCGTGGCTATTGATTACGAGTAAAATTGCACTTTTTACAGGTTTCTTTTTTTTTCTGCATGCTGGCGCTGGCTGGCAGTACCAGGCGCTTGCAGCCGCAGCTTGCCGGTCAAATACTATACTTATATTTCTTTTGGTCTCACCTCGTCCGACTTGGCGCTAAGATGACGTTATATTTGAACCGCTGAGATAGTAGACGTCACCTCCTCCCAGCAAGGCCGACATTCCATCAAGAGAGAGGGAGTGAGAGAGAGAGAGAAATGAAGAGAGCATTCGATAAGGTGACGGTAATATTCCCCTCTTCACCTCTCTCTTGCTCTGGCTACGCCACTGTCTGGTCCACTCGGCCCCTGCCTCGCGAACTCCGTCCGACTCCGCCACCGCCCTTTAGGAGAGGATGTTGTGCTCGACGAGCGTTTATCCCCGACGCCCTGAGCGTCACTAGCCGGCACTTAGGCGTCACGCCACGTCACGCCCAGTCACGCCACGTCACGCGGGGCGCAGCCCGCGGGGAGGCTGTGTCGGCTCCCCTCCCACCTCTCTCTCTCGCTCTCACACCTGCTAACCAGGCCCCTCGACAGGAACGCGAGCAGCACGCTGCCCCCCCCCCCC